CTCCTGTTGCTAAAAAGCAAGCTACAGAGAATGGAAGATTCCAAGTCAGTGCAGAAAGGGTAGACACTAAGAAAGCAAGCTAAGACCGAAAGTTTAAAAAAAAATGACCTGTAAGATATGTCCTGTGTAGGTACATGAAAGACATATTTCAGATTCCTGGCAAAAGCAGTCAGTTGCTAACCAGTTGGAATCTATTTTTTTCCTTGCAGTATAATTTGTTGCTCCTAATGAAATTTGGCATTCTTGCCAGGTAAGTACATGAAGGGGAAGGAATGAGAAGAACTTGCAGATAGGGTTAGATAAGTAGAGAGGGGAACGTGTGAAGTATAAACACAACTGCGCAAGTCATTTAGACCAAATAATCTGTTTTCCATACTGTAAATTTAATCTCACACCAACACATTCAAATGACATTTCTCGGTCTGTTGCTTTAGTGCAAGAAATGACTCATTTATAACAGGCAAATATTGTGATAAAAGTACAATTATCTATTTATCATCTGGAGTTATTGACAATCATTCTGGTCTATAATATCCTGTTGATATGAAAATTTTGTAAAATTCTTTAACAAGGATACCGCCACAACAGTGTTCTCAAAGTTTACCAGAGTGGTACTAAGAATGAAGATTTTTAGTACAATGGAAATGTTAGAGCAACTGGGATTGTTCTTCATGGAGAAAACAAGGAAGAGGTAGTCAGAAATTTTGAGGGGTTTTGATGGATCAATTGGATTGGCATGACATTGGCAAAATATGGAATGTCAATCTTTGACTTCCTTCATCTGATTTTTAATACTTGGATCTTTTCTGGACTAAAATAGTTTTCATGATGATCTTTGTGAAACCAATATGAGATAGGTAAAGACAACTCACCCAAAATTTATATTATTAAAAGGCATTGAAACATCTCCTGTTTTATTTACAACTTTATGGATGAGCTTCACATATTGAGATGTCAAAGTCACCTGTGAAATATCCAGCTTGGAAAACACTCGGATCAGTTACCGAAATGCACAAGTGAACTGTATTTTAAATGACTGTTTTAGCAGAATCAGGGAGAAAGATTGATCTGAGCCTGTAACTGGAAAAGCTTTTTCTCTCTCTGTTTTCTCTCAGTCTCTCAGAGAGCACAAACATAAAGCAAATTGAAGAAACACCCACTCACCAAGAACTCGAAAGATATTTACAACATTTGAGACTGTTGAGGATGTAAACATGAATTAAATAACCGTGGTCTTAGGTTTTAACCTAACACTCAAAGACCTTTTCAATTGCTTATAATTTTATTTTCCTTTTTGCACTAGAGCACCCTCTCTTTCATAAATTTATACCGATGTTTCTGTGTGTTTAATGTGTCTTTGTTTTTCTCAGGGCTAACAAGAAATTAAATCACTTTCCTTTCACTCAGAGAAACCTTCTCATTGACTCCTTATTTGATTCTGGTGAAGTTTCAATCTCCATTTTTATTGGAGTGAGGTATGCCTTGTGCTAAAAATAATTTAAAGTCTTTGTTGTGGCCAGTCTGGGTTGGTTTAAAAAAAAAGGAACAAATTTAGGGAAGAGAAGTTTTCTTTTGGCAAATTACGAGATAACCAGAAGTTGAAATAATTTAAAAGATTTAAAATAATTACCAAAAAAATCTAGAAGGGAATGAAACATTATTTCACATTTGATGTAAGATGCAGAATGAATAATCTTCAAGATTGATGGAACCAACTTTAAATGCAACTGAATGTAGAAGTCAAGAGAATGATTTTGTGGCAGCGTGAGGGGTCAAATTAGACAACTCTTTCATGTGGGCAGCCTGCAACTGTTGGCAATATATATTAATAAATTGTAGTCATATTTCCACATGACACAAAAAATGTGAAAAGACAGGTTGCGAGAAGGATACGAACAGTTTACGGAGAGATATTGATAGCTTAAGCAAACAAACAAAAAGTTTGCCAATGGAGTATAATGTGGGAAAATGTGAAGTTGTTCATTTTGAAAAGGAGAACAAAAGAGCATAATGCTATTTAAATAGAGAAAAACTGCCAGAAGCTGCAATACAAACAGCCTTGGTGGGTACTTGTGCACAAAACACAGAAGGGTAGCACACAGGTACAGTAAATAATCAGGAATGTTGAGTCTTATTTCAAGGGATTTGGAGTATAAGAGTGGGGAAATCTTACTGCAACTGTACAAGTTACTGGTGAGACCACATCTGAAATATTGTGAACAGTTTTTAAGGCAAGATATTATTTCATTGAAAGTAGTGCAGGAAATGTTCACTAGGATGATCCCCATTATGGAGGGATTGTCTTATGAGCAAAGGTTAAACAGGTTGGGATCTACTCATCGGGATTTAGTAAAATAAGAGGTGAACATATAGGATTCTTAAAGGGCTTGACAGGGTGAATGCTGCAAGGATGTTTCCCCTCATTGGAGAATCTATTACCAGATGGCATAGTCTCAGATAAAGGGATGCCAATTTAAGATTGAGAAGAGGAGGAACTTCTGTTCTGAGGGTTGTGAATCTTTGGAATGTTTTGCCCCAGAGAGCTATGGGGCCGAGTCCTTGCATATATTTCAGGCTGTGATAAATATTCCAGGAAGCTGGGAGGATAAATTCCCCTAGGTCCTCTTCCTGTTCTCTGGCTTATGATCCTGTTGTCAATGACATTGTATTGCAAGGGAGAAGGCAGGATTTCTCAAACATTGTGACAGTGTGTTTGGCTGCTGAATGACTGGTGGCAAATAGTGACAGTGAGTGATGTGTATGTGAGACGGCCATGCTTCAGTGTTGTTATGTAAAGATGTCAGTGATGAGTCCTGAATGTTAGGCTAGGTGATGGGACTATGCCTCATTGAGAAATGTGGGAAGTGTATGTGTTGTGGTATTTGTAAGCTGTGTTAACTGATACATTCACTTCTCTTGCCTGGCAGCCCAAGTGGGATCATCAATCTAGTTTTGGCACTGTTGCCAAATTTATGGTTCCACCCTCTGTGTATGCCACAATTCACATTCCCTGCACAGAATTACTGCAGGATTTCTTGTCTCCATCATCCTTCCCAACTACTGAAACATGGTCTCCTTCACATCATCAATCTTTTGGACGAGTGTTTCCAGTGTAGTGTTACTTAGCTTGGGAGTTTGTCCCTTGCCTGTCTCTGTCTATGGCCCAAAACAATTATCTAGTAGCTGCAGTGCACTGCTCTAACACTTCCTTTATAAGGACCTTGTCTGGAACACATGCTTTCCACTAAATACTATTCAACTCTCTGGAATGTACAGAGGATGCCCACACAGACATGGAAATGGGGCCTCACCTTCAAGCCCTGTGCCTGAAAAATGGGGCAATTAAATTTTATTCCCTCAAATTTTAATGCAAATATTTGGTGAATATGCTGATCTAATTTCGTGTTTCCATCACACAAGGTTCATTTCTAAATTTGCTCTCTTTTACTGGCTTATGTGTCTCTGGTTTCCCATTTCCCAGGACATGGAAAATGGAAGGGAAGGGAGAATTACAAATGAGAAAGATGTAACTTCCAATATATTAACATCAAGTCATTTCCAGTAGCTGTGGGCAATCAAGGTGATAATTGACTGGGGTGCATAGGGTTGATGGACCCACAACACATGATACTGTTGCAGGAGGAAACGATTAGAATGCACATTGCTTTCCTTTTTCCTAGAATTGGCCTCTCAGTTTTCTGACTCAACAAGTGTCAACTTTGTTAAATAGAGTCACGGAGGTCTCCAGCACAGAAAAAGGCCTTTTGGCCCATCAAATCTGTGCCAGACAAAAACAGATAGTGTGCAGTGAAATGCAAATAATCCTGCACATCCAAGCAAGATTACATGGGCAGTGGTATGAAATATTTCTCTTGGGGATTTTTATAACACCATGCTTTTCAAATGTTCGTAAATAGATTATGGGTGATTAGTCATATTCATTGCTATCATGCATAATGATCTCTGTAGGATTCATGAGTACAACAGTTGAGGAGCACTACATGAAGGCACCTAACCGTATCCAAGTTGGCATTGAGAGAACCTAAGGAGCCTTAAAGGAATGTTTCTGTTTATATTACAGATCAAGACCAGCTCTGCAGTGTTCTCTGTGTGTCCTGTTTACCTGTGGTTAAACTTAACATGAATACATCTTAGAACCAGGACTCCTTTGTAGCGTGGCTCCAAAATCTTTTTCCTCCACATGATCATTCCCAATATTATTGTTTTCATCATAATGCTTGAATGACTCATCATCTTGTACTTTTCTCCCTTGTCTCATCATATTCCTGTTCCTCATCGATCTCTGTACCTTTAGTTTGCCTCAATATGTTTTATGGAGTATTGCACCAGTAAGAGAAGTTAGAAGTATCTTTTTTGTTATAACTCTATGGAGTAGGTTTTGGCTTTGTGCAATAATTGAAAATGGATGATGAATTGTCAACCACTCTGCTGGGATTGACTTCTATCAAAGTCAGTTCAGTATCATTTGTTTTGCTGAATTCATACTGAATTGACTCTGCCAATAAAACCCAGCAAAGGTGTAAAATTGGTTGACAATTCACCATTATTCACATTCAATTATCGCACAAAGTCAGGATCTACTCTCCCTTTTCATTGGTCAATTATCATGTAAAAAGAATGTACAAAAGGAGTGAGTATTTTGACAAATATATTGTGACTGTTATTATTAAGTTTATCTCTCCTACAAAACTGGAATATTGTTGGAACATTTCCATTTGTAGAAGTTATGTCAATGTATGTAAGTAGTATTTAGATGGAAATACAGAAACAGCTATGATTCCTATAAGAGCAGAGTTTCAACCATTCTTGATCTGTGATCTCTTACTCCTGAGCCCGCAGTTAATAGTTGTTTAACATGGCATTGGCAAAATCTATGTTACGTTAATGTTTTTGTGCAGGTCATTTTTTATTTGCAACTTAAAGAAGTTTTAGTCTTGAGAACACTTCAAAGAACCTTAATGATACATAAAGGGATTGAATGAGAGATTAAGACAACAGTCGTTTATTTTTTCATTGTCTCAAATACAACATTCACTGAATACAAAATATATCAACCAAGTGACAATAAACATATGAAATCATGACTAAAAATTTACTATCATATAACCAATTACCAACAGACAAACAACTAATATAGGTTAAATTTAACCTATGTGACATAACAGCTGATATTTTCTTTACATTATCATTGAATTTACTTCAGTTTTAAATCTGGAAGTCCTAAAGCCAATCACGAAGCTAGTTTTAGAAAACCATTATAACATATATACATTTTCAAACAATCTACTCATAACAGGAATGGGAGGATAATTATTGCTTTAAGTATGTATGGACACTAGTAAAATAAACTCCTTTTATACTTTGAATTTTGTTAAGGCATTTCAACTTACTGACTGAAGTATTTTGAAACATTTAAACTTATGCCCCAGAAACTATGTAAAAATTGCACAAAAGACTACTGGCATGGTAACAGGAATTATGTGGAATAATGACATTAGCTGCATTAAAAGTAAGGAAAGTAGAAAATATTTCATCTTTAGGTAAAGCTGCTCCAGTGTATGTTCAACAAAAGCTTGGCTAAGTGGGAGAAGTAAACTTTCATATTATGTAGGAATAATTCATGTTCATTCATTTTGTGAACCATTTACATTTGATGCAGTAGAGGCTTCTGTTCTGAAAATGCAAAAACAAAAATGGAGTGTTACCTTGTGGTCCTGCTCAATATTTATTGCTTAATAAACTTTGCAAAACAGATTAAGTAATCATTATCACATTTCTGTTTGTGAGAGCTTGCTGTGTGCAAATTTGCTGCAATGATTCTAACATTGATGGTGAATACTCTTCAAAAGAATTTTATTGGCTGCAAAGTGAATATTTGAGGATGAAATAGACTTTTGATCAATTGGGGTATCAAGGGTTACAGGGAAAGGGCAGAAGATGGATGTGAGGAATGTCATATCAGCCATGATCCCATAGATTGGTGGAGCAGCCTCGAGAGGCCGAATGTCCTAGTCATGTTCCTATTTCTTAGTGTCAGTCTTATGGTCCTAAAGTGCTTTGGGATGTCTTAGTGTCAGGAAAGATGCTTTAAATGCAATTCTTTCTTTCACATCATTGGATGGTCTGCGGTAACTGCTGTTATGTCATAATGATAATGGTGTTAAAATGGAAGGATTGTACCACATGTCTGTATAAGTAACTGATGCCAAAATTGCAGACCAAAATCTAGATTACAGGAAAAGGAATAAGTTCTGAAAAGAAATGAAGATTGAATGTTAATACTTACTCTTCATTAATGAGATTAATAACCTTTTTGACCCAAAGTGTATGGGGATTCACACAGACTTTTATCCCACTCTTCAGGGTAATTCTGCCACACAAACAGAACATCTTTTGGTTAAAATCTTAACATTTAAATGAGATATGGTACCACCACCATCACAAAATGAGTAGTTAATGCAGCAGCTAAACTTGAGGCAACCTGCAGATTGAATTTGGAAACTCCAAATACTCATTTTAATAATCAAAAGCAAGGCCATTCTATAGTCATGTTCAGAGTTAAATTTGTGATAAATTGTAGAAAAAAACTTTTGTAGTCCTAAAGACAATTAATTTAGTTATGTTTTGCTGTATAATGCATAGTGGAAAACATTAAAGACATTTCAGTGAATATGTAAACAATAAATAGCCTTTGGAAACAACAGTAAATCTAAGATTCAACTGTGGTAGCATTAAAAGATCAGCACTCCATTCAAAACTGTGAAAGATGTGTTCTCAAAGATAGTGAATTCAAGCTGCTTATACTGTAAAAAGATCAGCCTTTTTTCCCAGAGTTGTGAAATTTGTGTTACCAACTTAAGTTGCTTTGATGTTAAGTTTTTTGGAAATCAAATTTATTGTAATACTTACATAATTTCTACATTTCTGCAGTAGGAACCCTGAGGATAGATGTCAACATGCTGATATTTTTTCGGTGGAATGAAACGAGAGACAACTATTGCACATTTGCATCTTGAGTTTGTTATGTTTCCAATGCACAGACCTGTAGTGAAAGAGAAAGAACAAAAAGGGCTTACAATGGAATCATGATTTGGAAAATGTGAGTTGCATTAGCAAGAATTCTGCTTGCTGAAGCTTACTTCCTTCAAGGGAATGCACATTTACTTTTACAATATAGAAGATCATGCAAGTTTCCAAATTCTCAATCTAAAGTTTTGATTAATGGAATGAAACTCAAGTTTGAATGATGTTTTCAGCATTAAAATTAATGGAAAATTCTTAAATTACCTTACATTTTATAGGATATAATATTTGTGATGCAGTGAGTGTACTACAAACAGAATTTACCCTCTTTATTTAACCTGCCAACAAACCAATAAAATCTCTGCATCACTGATGCTTGACCTACTTCCTATTAATGCTATACATACAAAAACAAAGTAACCTACAGAAAGTTAATGCAAAGGCACATTGGAATACATACTGGTCTATTTTTGATCTCTTTCTAGTTTTGGATTGTACTAACCAAAAGATCTGTCAAAAACCTGTTGGGGTGTATAGTCTCTTGTGCTATAATCTCACATGTTCAATTTATACTATTAGTGTATATTTTAAAATTTCTTAATTTGAAATTATGCACAAGAATATCCAGCATTATGCATTATCCTTTACAACTTTTATTTGTAATGTTAATCATTTTGCTGAGGGGGAGAAAAACTCAAAACAATCACATTGATTTGACCTGGTGTAATCTTGATCCCCTCAATATCAGATCTGAATCACTGGAAGTCCTGTACAATATTTGCAATTATGACTTTCCTAGATCAGAGAGGAATGCCATCATGAGCCAACTTTGCTAGCCTAGTTAAATTAGGTTGGATTTGACCTGTAATGTAAGACAGTGCTCATCTCTACCATTTAGTGGTCATCTTTCTCTTCTTAAATCTGAAGACATTGCAAATTTTGCTGTTGAATGTTGTGACTATAAAATAACATAAAATATATGGAGCAAAATCAAATATTTTCCTATTTATTTACATCAGTCTCAATGAAATGTCACATTGTCATAGTGCTTTCGATAGAGGAACACAGTTGCTGTGTAAATTCAAACTAGGTGACTCAACTTACCTTGAGAAGCCAGGCTGAATACAATTGTTGCCAACAGCAAACAGATTGTTTGGGTCTTCATTGTTGAAAACTATGGTTTCTTCTAGTCTTCAGTCAGAGCAGCTGGCAGTTTCAGAGTGCGTTGATTTGGCTTAGCAGATCTTGTATTTATCAGCAAGATTTGGGGAACTTAGGTCATCAAAATCGAAATAAGGAAATACCTTGTCAGCATGTTCGAATAACTACCTAAATGCTATTTCTCTTTGAAGCAGTTTAAAAAAATCTCATAAGCAAATTTGTATTTTCCCAGTTTAGTCATATTTCATTTAAGCTGTAATAATCAAATATGATTGTGAACCCATTATATGTTTCTAATGACCACATTTGGAAAATAAGTGACAAACAGTGCTGTAAGATGTAGCATGTCTATAGAATGCCTAAACATGTTTTTGTTGGGATATTCCAGGTATTGGTATCCCAGCAATTTTTTTCTAACAGGTCAAGATAACCGTCATGAAATGTTTGCTATAAAATTATAATTTTAGTCAGATTGCACACTGTGACTAATGAGTAAAGAAGGAAATCCTTGCTTAGATTTAACAAGCTATCAATTTCTTGCAGAAGCCACATTTTAGATAAAAGGAATAACAAGATAAGGTAAGAAACAGGGAAAGCATTATCTTGCCATCAACATTTCTCCTAAATATAACTGAAACATAATAGTTTTTTTTTATTAATCACTTCAATTTGAAGAGCTTGCTGCTTTAAAGGAAGGATTGTGCTTTGTTAGTATGTTGGCCTGTAATCTTTGTGATTGCTTCTTTGAATCAATCAATCAAATATACTGACAAAAATGCCTAAATTAGTTGGATCAGCTTTAGAATCTCTCACAATATTAGAATTTTGAAAACAAAGATCATTTTTGCAATTTGAAACCAGACGAAGCACTCAGCTATGATGGCATTAGCAAAATGGAAATTGTTTTCCAGGGATAGTAGGAACTGCAGATGCTGGAGAATCCAAGACAACAAGGTGCAGAGCTGGATGAACACAACAGGCCAAGCAGCATCATAGGAGCAGAGAGGCTGACGTTTCGGGCCTAGACCCTTCATCAGAAAAGGGGGAGGGGAAGGGATTAGTTTGTCTGGGTAACTGGAAAAACACATCTTGCTCTTTTTTTATCTGTTTGTGATGGTTGATAACAAGAGGTGAGAGATGTGGAAATAGATTGGTCAGGACATTTTAGAGAGAACAAATTCACCATGATGCAAGAAATATTATTGTTAAATTAATTAGATGACCCAGTGGTGTGGAACAGTTTAACAAGTTCATTATTTGTACATCTTGCCTTTCAGATAAGCTTTACTGATTGAAATAAGTCCTTGTTAAATTGGTCTGCGTGGTCAAAGATAAGGAAGTTTGAGTCCGGTGTCAAATGTATTACAATTCACTATCTTACATTTTCTGTAATTACTCTTGAGTAGTTTCATTCTCAGTTATCAGGACATATTGGTTCTTGTGGGCACGCGCCTTATTGTGGAATAAGACAATGTAATAATTCAAATTAAGCCAGGCTGTGTTAGTCTGCGCTTTGAATAAATACATGTGCAAATGAAATGGGTAATTGGTTCACATCATAATGGGTTATAATTACCACAACCTCAGGTCCCATTATTCTAATATTGGGAAACATTCATTTAAGGTGTAAGGGGGAAAGTTTAAAGCAGATGTGAGGGGCAAGTTTTTTGCACAAAGAGTGGTAGGAGTCTGCAACACACTGTGGGAGCAGATACGATAGGGACATTTAAAGGACTTTTAGATAAGCACATGAGCATGCAAAGAAAAGAGGAATATGGACCAAGGGCTGGCAGAAGGGATTGGTTTAATTTGGCATCATGATGGGCACAACATTTTAGGCTGAAGGGGGCCTGTTCCTGTGCTGTACAGCTCTGTGTTCTGTGATCTATTTATAAGTATTGTGAATATTTTCCCATAAAACAAGATGTTTATCCAATCACAGGAGTAACTGATGCCATTGAACCCCAAGATATATCTATGACAGAACTAACATATAGCGCATCCTCAAATTTTCTCAGTAGAAAATAACTTGCTGTGATTTTTTTTATTTTCTCTGGAGTGATCTGAGATAAGGAACTTGACCACGGTTGAGAGAATAGAACATGCACTCTGGTATTTCATATTGTGATTGATGAACTTGAATCTTAGAGTCATAGTGCTACTTACTCAATTCATTTTGACAGTGGCGAGAAACACTGAACAAGAAGTTCCCACTTCAGTAGAGCAAAGTGACTTGTTTACCATTCTTCCATTTTTACTCTGTCAAAATTTCTGAGAATTTCAGGTAAGGACCCTAGCTCACAAATCAAGAATTAGAATTACTTAATGATAAATTATTCCAAACTTTTATTTCTAATTGTTTATTTACTGTATGGATGGTAGAATTCTTATTATTCTTTTTATAAAATGAACTTTAAATATTACGATAACAATATATTGATTTAAAATATGGTAAATTTATTATGTCCAAAATTTTAAGTGTGTTGAGATTGTTGCTTTTCCTAGAATAATCAGTTTTGAAAATAAACATAAAATGCTGTAGATGCTGGAGAAAATGAGCAGGTGAAGCAGCATCGGAGGGACAGAGAAAAGAGTTAGCATTTCGAGATTGATGTGATTCTTCTTCTGTCATATCAGACTCAAAACATTAACCCTGCTTCTCTCTCCACAGATGTTGTTAGACCTGTTGAATTCCTCCAGTATTTTGTTCTTGTTTTAATTTTGTAAAATAGATTGGTGGCTAACTCTAACACCATTCTGTGTAAAGTAATTAATGCAGGAAAAAAAAGTCACTGCTATTCTGTGATATGTCCGCAGGAAAGTATAGATCACAGACTTGAGTCTGAAAAGTACATTTGTTAATTACCTGTTCTTATGGAAGCAGGAAATGACATGTTCAACCACCTTCCCCTGGCCAACTTGGGATGGGCAATAAAACTGGCCTATCCAATGGTACCCACATCCCATGAATGACTAAGAAAAATTAGCAAACTTAGCAACCATAAACTTAGTCCCTTTATCCAAGTTATTAATATATATTAAATAGTTGTTGTCCCAGCACTGATTTCTATGGCACACTACTAATTATATCTTGTCAACCCAAAATATTCTAAATTAAGTTTAAATTCATATGTTTAGAATGGTTCTCTGCAAACATATAAAGACACCTGTCTCCAGTTACTGTGATCCGCCAAAATGGCCTTTAGTAAGCATTGTACGAATGTAAAATGGAATCTGCTGAGACTCCAGTTAAAACTAAATTCCAACAATCACCAGATGTCTAGTACCATTTTCTGCTGGCCTGCAAGTAAGGTTTACGGAGGTGGATATCCTGCCAGGAGCCAACATAACATTCATGTAATTAATTGTCATTGAAAAATAATGAAAATCTGAGATGCTCCATTGGGAAGGATAGAATTCCACAAGAGCTGGTCTTGTCGACTGAAGTGCAAAATCCAATCCCAAAAGTCAAGAAGAGCATATTTAGCTTAAGTATTCATCTTTCTCGAGTAACTGTGAGACCATTAATCATCTATATCAATATCACTAATATGTAGCTATCACTAATCATCATGCACTTTCTCATTTAGTAATCTCTGTGACTAACTAACTTTGAAGAAAAGTCATACTGGACTTGAAACATTAACTCTATTTCTCTCTCCATAGATGCTGCCAGACCTGCTGAGTTTCACTAGCATTTCTGTTTTTACTCTCAATAGCAAGTGCTTGCACTGATAAGAGTTGCAGTAATGTAAAATAGGAACGCCAGAGATGTTAAATGAACTCCAAATCTTAACTAACATCTATAATAGATGCAAGTCTGGCTTCAAAATCCATTATTGTTTCCTCCAGTTATTCTGTTTTTTTCTCGAAATTTGACTCTAATCTCTGTTTCATCTTTGTAATTTTAGATGTGCCTATTTAAGTTGACTGTGGGGTTTGCATGAGTGAAAGTTTTATTTAATTACCGGCAGACATCTGATTTCACTGCTGCTGTGAGTAGCTAACCATGCACACTATTAAAAGCAGAAGGAGCACACTAACTGCTCTGATTTCCTGAGAGGTTCGGAGTCCCATTGTGCATGTACTGAAACAATTGCATGAGAGCAACATTGTATATTTCAGGAAGGTTGCACTTTATTATGCATTTGGCTGATTCTAATGATACTGGGTATCATATTTCTGCATTTGTTAGCTTTCCTTCTAAATTAAAGGTAATAAATAAAATCCAGCTGTTGCATATATCCTCTCTCCCACTCAATTGGTCAAGGTAATCATTAAATGATTAAAAATAATGTAAATTTCCCACTGACAAGGCTGCACTGAGTCAACCGCACCACAACCATCATTCCAAAATAGATGTTGGTTTGCAATTCAAAGTTCACAAATATTATGTAATCCGTCTTATCATTGTTTTCATAATTCCTCTATGTTCACACAGCACAGCAAAATATAAATGTTCTGAACAAAATGGATACAACTATAAATGACTTTTCAGAGATGGACTTGAAGTAGATTTTATCTACAATTATCAAACATAAACACTGTCCCAATGAATTAAAGGACGGTATCATGGTGGTTAGCGCTGCTGCCTCACAGCACTAGGGACCCGGGTTTGATTCCACCCTTGGGTAACTGTCTGTGTAGAGTTTGCACGTTCTCCTCGTGCCTGTATGGGTTTCCTCCGGGTGTTCCAGTTTTGTCCCACAGCCCAAAGATGTGCAGGTTAGATGGACTGGCCATGTTAAATTGCCCATAGTGTTCAGGGATGTGTAGATTAGTTGGGTTATTGGGGATGAGTCTGGGTGGGATGCTCTGAGGGTCGGTGTGAACTTGTTGGGCTGAAGGTCCTGTTTCCACACTATAGGGATTCTATGATCGTAAGTGTAATTGTGATAAAATTTTAGAATATATTAAGCTTAACTTAACTTTTCCTTCCGAAAGAATTTTGTACCAACACATATTAGAGGTAGTCATTATCATAATCTCATCACTGACTTGGTTTGTGTACAATGGTGAAGCCAGTGAGTAAGTATTCCAAGGAGTTGCATCAATTATGTCCATGCTACAATGATAAGTT